CAAAACTCATTTGAAAAAAAAAAGCATTTTTTAAACAGCTATCATACTCTATCTAACAAAATGCAAAGAAAAGAAGAAAAAAAATATCCTTTGATTTTGTGCGTTCTGCAATTTACATCGACTTAGAATTGATAGAAATAATTTAGAAAAATATTTGTATAGCTGTATGATAATCTATATGATCCTTTCAAGTGATTCTCATTCTATTTTATTTAATTCGAAGTTATTTTTATTCACCTAGTGTACTTTACACTCATTTATCTTATCATGATGTGTAAATTTATACGAATATATTTCATTCTTATCAGTCATTCATAGTTGTACTTTGGATATCTATTCCATTGAATATAATAAATGAAAATATATAGTAATATTTTTCTATTCTCTTAGATATTAAATTTCAATATTTCTAAAAACAAAATGTTAATACCTCGAATAATTCGATTATTAAATAATTTTTCAATACGACAAAAACAATATTCTATTCAATTTTCTTCACTATATAGACAAATTAATATTGAAAATTCTTTTAATAATATACATAAAAATAATCAAATACAATTAGAATTAAAATCAGTTAATGATACACATGTAACTTTAATTATTAATAATAAAGAATATAAATATGATTGGATATTTTTACGAGATTCATGTCAATGTCATCAATGTATTGATTTATCAACAAAACAAAAACTTTATAATACTACAGATATTCCATTGACTATTTCTCCACAACAACAAACAGGAATTAAAATATTAAATAATAATATTCTTGAAATATATTGGAATCAATCATTATTAAATGAAAAAAATTCTCATATACATCGTAGTTTATACTTAAGTACATGGCTTCAAACATATTCAACATTAAAAAATATTACACGTTCAAGATATAATGATCGTCCATTTATTAATTGGAATCGAAATCATATTCAACAAATAAATCTACATATTCAATGTAATGATTATCTTTATTCAGATCAAAAATTTTATACAGCCTTAAAATATCTTCATGATTATGGTCTTATTTTTATTGATAATGTTCAAGGAGAATTTACTGTTGAACGTCTTGTTGAAAGAATAGGTGAAATTCGTCATACATTCTATGGTAAAACATGGGATGTTCGAAATATTCAACAAGCTATTAATGTTGCTTATACATCTCAACGACTTGGACTTCATATGGATTTATTATATTTTGAAGCACCACCAGGTTTACAATTTTTACATTCACTTGTAAATAATGTTAATGGAGGTGCATCATATTATGTTGATGCATTTCGAGCAGCTGAAATTCTTCGTCAAAATGATCCGGAAGCTTTTGAAATACTTTGTTCATATCCTGTAACTTTTCATTATAGAAATGCTGGTCGACATTATCATTTTACACGTCCAACTATTGTATTAAATAGATATTCATTAGATAATCGTATTGATCATATTAATTATTCACCACCATTTCAAGCTCCATTTGAAAGTGATACGTCAAAATCTGAATTTCGAAAATTTATTCGAGCTTTTCAATATTTTCGTGATTTAATAGAAGATCAAAATAATCAATTGGAATTAATTCTAGAAAAAGATCAATGCGTAATATTTCAGAATCGCCGAATTCTTCATGCAAGACGTGAATTTGATCCATTAAGTGGTGAACGATGGTTGAAAGGATGTTATACTGATCTAGATAATTTTAAAGATAGATTACGAATTTTTCAAGAAAAATTTGAACCGATTTCAGCTCTTGAATTGTAAATGAATGATATAAACTTAATAAAGAAAATTTTAATGATTAGTTTTCTTTTTTTTTTCAAAATATTTAGACTAGAACTGATGTGTCAACATGTACCTTTACTTATCACGGCATTACCAAACTAATATAGTAGATGTGTCGTTAGTCTATCTGTTAAACATTTATTTACTATTCTATTTTGCTCGTAAGCTACATATGATTGATTTAGTTGAACATATCAAATATAAAAATTTTCGCATGGTTTTGTTTTCAAATAACTCATTGATTAGTCATTATTAAATAAATTGTTGAGAAATTGATCAATCATCGAGAATGGACTGCTTCAAAGAGATCTAATCAGATCAAACTGAAGCGCATTAGTTATATCTCAAGATCTTTCTGTCTTGGCTCTAAGGATAGATGTTATTAATTCGAATTAAATGAAAAATGAGTCATTTTTCGAAAGTTGTAATTCGTGTCACGATGGTGTCGAGAACGAAAACTCAGAAAATATTCGTATAAACGCGAAATTGAAGTATCGAGATCCAGCTGATATAATTTTTTCCAATCTTCTAGAGGACGTTCTATTTGCTTACAAATGGCATCTCAAAGAGTGTATGGTTGTGCATGAATGAGGATGTTCTTCTCACTCGCACCTACACACTGTACATACACCCACATCCATATCCGGAGCCTCTTGTGATTCATTTTTCACACCTTCTAAGTTTTTAGGATTCTTTTTTTTGTGTACTCAAAAAGTGAGTACACTCTAGAATCGGTCAGAGTGTCCGGCCGGCCGGCCGTCCGTATACACGATAACTTTTGTAAGGAGAGTCCGATCACGATGAAATTTTCTACACAGCTTGGTCTCAACAATATCTCGGTCGAATTCGAAGATGAGAATGATTGGCCGAGCCATTGCTGAGTTATTGCAAAAATAGTCATTTTTCCCTATGCTTCCCTGTGCGAAGATCGACTTATCTCCGCTTTCGTAAAAAACTTTTCCTATCATTGTCAAATAAAACCCCAACTATTATATACCATTCGATAGAGAATTTCACGAGCTACAAAATGGTATATAAAACATAAGGAAACAAGAAAGCCAACTCAGCTATTGCAAAGATAATTAGACGGAAATCGGTTCTGTTTTTGTCCACGCTCTAATTGATCCACAATTCGAGCTCTATCTTCCGATCACAGTGATGATGCTTCGAGGTTTTCTGGGGTGGAGAACTCGAATCTGTGTTCCATTCGTCTCGAAATACTATTGGTTGAGCAGTGACCAATAGAAATGAAGTTATAGGGAAAACGACTTTCTTAGGGTAAGGCCTTGTCTCCACTAGAAAAATAATACAGTATTAACTTCGTAT